GTTGTCACCATCTTTGTTAACATGTCTGCCAGATTTTGAGCTCCACTAATCTTTTCAAGTTTCAAAATCCCATTTTCCAGAAGAGACCGGATAAAATGATACCGTAATTGTATGTGCTTCGTCCTGGAATGAAAAGAAAGATTCTTTTCTAGATGGATAACACTTTGATTATCGCAATACAAGACATTGTTTTCTTGTTTCTTGCCTAACTCTTCCAAGAAACTTTGGAGCCAAACCATCTCCTTGCTGGCTTCCGTAACAGTGACATATTCTGCTTCAGTTGTGGAGAGAGCAACTATTTTCTGTAGTTGAGAAACCCAACTCACTGCAGTTCCTCCTAGAGTATAGACATACCCTGTAGTGCTCATTCTGATGTCAACATTTCCAGCTAAGTCAACATCTACATAGCCTGTCAGTATAATATCTTCACCTTTGAAACAAAGTGCTTTGTTTGTGGTACCCTGCAGATATCTGAGGATCAATTTGAATGCTTCCCAGTGTACTTTTCTCGGATTATTCATGTACCTGCTAACAGCTCCCACTGCATGAGAAATATCTGGTCTGGTACAAACCATGGCATACATCAGACTTCCAATTGCTGAGGCGCACGGCACCTTCACCATGTGTGCACGTTTTTCCTTCGGCTTTAGTGACTGTTCTTTGGAGAGTCTAAAATGAAAACCTAAAGGTGTACTTACTGGAGAGTACTTTGTTGATGTACTCAGCCTGTGATAACATCAAAGTCCTTGACTTTGTGTCTCTCTTGATCCTCATCCCAAGAATCTGCTTTGTAACGCCCAGATCCTTCATAGCAAACTACTTCAACAATTTTTGCTTCAAGTTTATAATCTCTTGCATGTCTGAGCCTGCAACGAGCATGTCATCAACGTACAATAATAAAATAATGAAGTTGTTGTCGAACCTCTTGATGTAGCAACAATGATCTTCTTGGCATCTGGTAAAACCACTGCTACTCATGAAGCTATCGAACTTCTTGTACTACTGTCTAGGAGCTTGTTTTAAACCATACAAGCTCTTCTTCAACCTGCATACCAGGTTTTTCTTGCCAGCCTCTATGAAGCCTTCTGGCTGCCTCATATATATTTCTTCCTCCAAATCACCATAAAGGAAAGTTGTCTTTATATATAACTGCTCAAGATGTAAATTCTCTGCAGCTACAATTTTCAACATCAGTCTGATTGGAGAGAAAATTTCATTGTAGTAAATAGCTTCTTTTTGCTGAAAACCTTTGATAACCAATCTTTCTTTGTAGCGTTTGCTCCCATCGTGCTTTACTTTGATCCTGTAAATCCACTTGTTGTGGAATGCTTTCTTGTCTGATCTCATCTTTCATGGAAGACTCCCACTTGATTGAATTCTCCACTTGAATCGCTTCATCATAGCACTCTAGTTCACCATTTTCAGTCAGCAACAAGTAGTGCAAAGAATGAGAATACCATTGGGTTGGTTTAGGAATTATGGAGGAGCATCTCAGTTCTGGTGTGTTTGGTTCTTCTTGAACTGCTTCAGGATTGATCTGAATATCATTTCCAGAAATCTCCTCGAACTCAGCAAATTCCTTTGTTTCAGCTTCGACATTGGAGCTACTTGATTCTACGGTTGACCTGTCTTTGTACATCATATTCTTATTGAAAATGACATCTCTGCTTCTGATGATCTTTCGATTTTCATAGTCCCAAAACCGGTAATCGAACTCATCACCGCCATAACCAACAAAGGCACATTTGTTGGACTTAGCATCAAGTTTACTTCTTTCAGGAGAGTCTATGTGTACATAAGAAATACAACCAAACACTCTTAAGTGTGAAAGATTTATTTCTTTCTTGCTCCAAACTTCCTCTGGTATTCTACCATCCAAAGGAACTGAGGGTCCACGGTTGATCAGGTAAGCTGCAGTGTTGATAGCTTCAACCCATAGAAATTTGGGCAATCCGACATGTATCCTCATGCTTCTGGCACGTTCATTCAGAGTTCTATTCATGCGCTCTGCTACGCCAATCTACTGCGGAGTCATGGGAACTGTTGTCTCCATCTTGATCCCATTGTTTGCGCAGAAATCTCTGAATCTTCTATTTTAGTACTCTCCTCCATTATCAGACCTCAACCGCTTGACTTTCAAACCAGTCTCATTTTCCACCATGGCTTTCCATTTTCTGAAGGTATCAAAGACTTCTGATTTCTTCTTCAGAAAATAAACCCACACCTTCCTTGTTGAATCATCGATGAAGGTGACATAAAATAATGAGCCTGCAAGAGATGAAACTGGAGATGGTTCCTATACATCAGTATGAACCAACTCTAACTTTTCTGCCTTGGGTGTCTTGTCAATCTTTGCAAAAACTGACTTTCTTTTGTTTTCCAAAGATGCAATCTTCACATAGTCCGACATCTACATTCTCTAGATCCGGCAGCTTCCCTTTTGACAAAAAAGTCTTTATCCCTTTCTCGCTCATATGGCCAAGCCTTTGGTGCCATAGGTTTGATTTTCCATCTGCATCTACTGCAGCAATGATATTCTCTAAATTTGATGTTACATAGAGAGTATCAGTCTTCTTACCACAAGCAATGACGAGTGCTCCTCTGGTAATCTTACATTCACAGCTTGAAAAAGTTGTACTATAACATTCTCCATCAATCTGTCCTACAGAAATCAAATTTCTTTTGAGGCCAGGAATATGTCTTACTCCTTTCAGCGTCCAGGTGGTCTGGTTTGGCAGCTTTAATCGGATGTCTCCTTTTCCGAAGATCTTCAAGGTTTCATCATCTACTAGATGAACCTTCCCAAAGTCACCACTGACATAGTTCTCCATGATTTCTTGGCATGGGGTGGAGTGGAAAGATTCCCCTGAATCCAAGATCCATGATTCAATTGAACTGTTGACGCTTAAAATCATGGCATCACCTGTCTCCTCTGTCACGTTGGCAGATTCCTGTGCGCTGGTATTTTTCTTCAATGCTCGGCAATCTCTTTTAAAGTGACACTTCTTGCCACAATTATAACAGGTAAAATCTTTCTTTCTCGTTCTTGATTTGCCCCTTATGGATTTCGATCTACCACGATTTGAATTTCTTTCTGAAGTTCTCCCTCTGAACTTCGTGTGCAAGGCTGAGGAGGTTGATGCTTCACCCGATTCTCTCTGTCGAATTTCTTCGCTCAATACTAGATCCCGAATATAGTCGAATTTTAATTTGTTGTTTCCCGATGAGTTGCTGACTGTTGTAACAGTAGCATTCCAACTGTCTGGTAGAGATGATAAGAGAATTAAAGCTCGAACTTCATCATCGAATTCAATTTCCACGGAACTCAACTGGGTTGTAATTGTGTTGAGTTCATTCAAGTGTTAAGCCACTGATGCCCCTTCTGCCATCCGCAAATTGAATAATCGCCTCATCAAGTGCACTTTGTTTGAGGTCGATGGCTTCTCATACATACTAGAGAGAGCCACCATAAGACCCGTCGTGGTCTTTTCCTTTGCTAAGTTGAAAGTAACATTACGGGATAACGTCAGTCGGATAACTCCGAGGGCTTATCTGTCGAGAAGAGCCCAGTCTTCATTCTTCATGCCCTCTGGTTGCTTTCCTAAGAGGGGTTGATATAAATTTTTCTGGTACAGAAAATCTTCGATCTGCATCTTCCAAAAGCCAAAGTCTGCACCATTGAACTTTTCAATTTTCGCATTCCCTTCGTCTATAGCCATCGCTCCCACTCGAGTCTGACTTCGTTTGGATCGTTTCTGACAATTCTTGCGAACCACTGAGTATAGAAACACCTTCGTCGATAAATTCGTACCGCCGATAAAATTTTTACTATTCACGAAATTCACTATTCATGTGAATAGTAATAAATAGTAACCTCGCAAAAAATTAACAAAATTCAAAACCGAAAGCTTTGATACCAGTTGTTGGAAAATAACATAGTAACGAGTAATTTGCCTATAACCAGATTAGTGAGAATACGAAACAAAAGCGAAAAAATAATACCCAGAAAATTGATAACGGAGTTCAGCCAATTGTGCCTACGTCTCCGGACTACTGCAGATCTTTTACTAAGAGAGAAAAATTACAGGTGTTTACAAAACACTCACTACTCACAAGAAAGCTCTCTAGTATTGGGAGAAAGAAATGATTTTGGGATGATTTTAAAGCTAAATGAGCTAGGGTATTTATAGTTGAAGCTTAGGGATTAATATTTGAAAATATCCTAAAGTGCAATGACTAAAATGTAATTTAGCCATCTCAAAATTTTAACACACATTAATTGCACCGAATCCGGTGCATTAATATAGCAGCAAAAGATGACTTCTTGATGATTTTGGAAAATTACAGGTGTTTATAAAACACTCACTAATCGCAAGAAACCTCTCTAGTATTGGGAGAAAGAAATGATTTTGGGATGATTTTGAAGTTAAATGAGCTAGGGTATTTATAGTTGAAACTTAAGGACTAATATTTGAAAATACCCTAAAGTACAATGACTAAAATGTAATTTAGCCATCTCAAAATTTCAACACACATTAATTGCACCGAATTCGGTGCATTAATATAGCAGCAAAAGATGACTTCTTGATGATTTTAGTGGCCCCCTTTTGCTCCCCTTCTTGGACTTTCAACAATATTAACTTTATAAAAAGCATAACAAGTTTTGACCCTACCTTAGTATTGAATGTAATTACTCTTTTAAGAGGTCTTAAGACTAATGCTCCTCCTCGTTTGCATACGAGAGTTTTTATGTTTTCAGTTTTTTCGTACGATATCATTTATCATCGTTTTATTGGTAAAAGTTAATTCATTCAAAAAAAGTCGCATCATCCGTCACATACGGAGCTTAAAGGTTAAGTGACTATCTTATTACTTTTCATAACATTAATGATTGTTTTGGTACTTTTAAAATATTACCGGGTAAAACAAAATCTTCTTAATACTTCAGTGGCCACTTATATAGTTTACCCTAAAAAGATTTGGCAAAACGACTCGTTGAAATTGATCTAGCCGTGTTGTAAATGCTTCAAACCAGCAGATTGGTGGGGATGGGTAGATAAATATCATCCTCCCACGTTCTCTAGTCTGGCAAGCATTGTTCGGCAAGAAAAAATAAAAGTAAACTAGCACAAATATGGCTCGCACCGCGTAACTCCTTCCTTTAAAGCCACCACCTTCTCGGGAATGGGACAATGAATCAGACCTGAAACACACAGAAACGAAAACTAGATGACATCCAATATGGGCACTGGTAGAAACTGGTTCAACACAGTTCGAAAAAGGTTCATCAAATCATCCAACCAAAGAGACACCACCATCCTTCACAGCGGAAATCTAAGCCAGCATCCAATGATCAAAGAAGCTAGAGACTTCCCCAACATCTCAGCTTCGTCTACATCATCATTTCAGACAAAACATCTACAGAGGACATTGCAGCAATTCAAATCCAGTCGCTCTTCAGGGGGTCACCTTGTAACTAGCATTTCTTTTTCAAGCATTTTAGATATGGTTAAACTTACCTTTTCGTGTTCTGGTTTCAATAACTGAAAATTGTATAATGAACAGGCAAGACGAGCATATAGATCTTTGAGAAGCCTAGTCAAGCTACAAGCAGTGACGGATCTAGAAATTAAAAAATGGGGTTCCAAAATTTTAATACCCTATTCTAAAAAATTTTGGGTATACAAATTTTCTTATTTTTTTCTATTCCTATTAACAAATTAAACTAAATTTAACACTTTTCTAAAAATAATAGGTGTACAATGACTTCCCTAGGAGCCATGTACATCCGCCCCTGCCCGAGGGGCGTATGTAAGAACACAAGCACATCTAACAATGAATTGCATGCATGCACTTGTCAGGTTACAGGTCAGAGTTTGTGCCCGCCAACCGCTCAGCAAGTACAGTGAGTGACTGCCGATTTTCCCTGCGGTGTCACCTTCAGTTTCAACTAACCACGAACACTGTTTGCTACAGGTATAAGTTATAACCTTTTCCATTTCAAAAATTTTCCGATACAACAATTCCTGTACTCTCTTTTCACAAAATTTTAATAAACATAAACATGAGAGATTGAGTCATGATCCAGGAATGTGATAATGATGAACTGTACTTTCAGATGATCCATTTTACAGATTGCAAAAACAGAAGATATGAAAAGTCAAGTATTAGGGTTTCACATAACAGCTTAGAGAAGACAAAAAAGTAGGAACCAAAGAGGGAAATTGTAACTTAGGATTGCTGAAAACTGAATCACTCTCCAAATGCACACTGCTGTACTGAATAGCTCATCATTCATAATGCTATATATAAAACGATAAAATGCAGTCAGACAATAATACTTGTTGTTCACAGCATCCTCTTTACTACTGGAGTTGATGGTGTCCCCTCAACATAGATGGGAAAACACAGCTGGATGACTTGCTCACGTTGCAATCATCCCCCTTATCTGCAAACTATCACAATAGTACCATGCTTAGAATTGTTTGACGAGGCAAAACAAAAAACATGTCATATGAATATTGTACCTCTTTATCTATTTGTTGAAGGATTTGTACAATTTCAGAGAAGTTGGGCCTTTGAGTGGGGTCCTGCCGCCAGCATCTCTCGAGCAATTCCCCTAGTCTTGGGTGTGTATTCTTTGGGATTGTAGGGCGTAAGTTCTGAAAAGAACATTAAATGTTATAAACAAAATATCCTACTTAGAACAGAACAAAATTTTCGTATTCGTACAAAAATAAAAGTACCTTTTGCACCACACCAACTGCTGCTTGTAGTGGAGTCAAGAGAGAATATGGGAGCTAGCAGTTGCAATGTAAAAGAATAAATCATCATAAAGATATAAATCTCAAAGAATGTACTTGTAGATGAAAGAAAGTTCACCACAGGCAAGTATCCACAATAAAAAACCAGAACTATTCCACAAAATAGAGCCTTACTTCTCCTGTCAGTAGCTCCCAGAGTGCTATTCCAAAGCTAAAACATCTGCCTTGTGATCATATGGTTTGTGCTCAATAACCTATATTAGTTAAGATAGGGCAATGAAATATTAGATTAGATCTCCTTCTAGAATTGAAAATCATGTTCGTGTCAATTAATAAGTAAAAAATCTGCAGTGCATGGTCGAAAATCAAATTATAAAAAAGTGTAATCATTTAGAAGATGATCATATTTAATGGGATAACATCACATGCAAAATGATTTTTTAGTTCCCACACGGAATTAGTCTGAATGCCAAACATGTATTTTTTATGATCTTGAAGAAACATAAAATAGCCAGTATATTACAAGATCATCGAAGTAGCTAAACTACTAACATGTAAAGAATACAAAGGAGAAACATAATGTCCAAGAAAAATGCATACCTCAGGAGCCATCCAGCGGTATGTTCCAGTTTCGGCTGTCATTACTCCAGAATGAGCCTGCACTCTAGCAACTCCAAAATCAGCAACTTTAACAACCTGTAAAGGACAGACCAATAATTTTAAGACAAATATCATTAGTTAATCAATCATACAATTTACTGCATACTGTAATCCTAGTCAAAATTCACAAGGAAAATAAAAACAAAATAGCTTTTAATAGAAAATTAATTAATCAGTGACTTGATTAACAAAAACATCTTACTTGATTCTCATCCATCAAAAGATTGGCAGTTTTCAGGTCTCTGTGGATGATGTTGTTTTGGTGCAAATAGTTCATTCCCTTGGAAACATCAAGGGCTACTTTGAGAAGAGACGGCAACTTAAAAACACCCCTATGCTTATGCAGATAGTCATATAAGCTACCTCTGGCCATGAATTCTGATAAAGCACAATTATCACTATAAAAGAACTATCTGTGAAATGAAAAGGGAAATGTTTCTGTATTTACAAAGCCACAGAGTGTATCATCATAGAATTAAAGGGATGAAAAGGCATACACATCCGAATATTTAAATTTTGGTATACAGATGGGAATTCAGAGACTAAATTCGTAATGGTAGGTTTTGTGTCAATCTCTCAGTTTGCACTCCAAAGCCAGAATTGTTCCCTTCTAGCAACATAATTATAGATAATATCTGGTAAAATATAAAAACAGCAACACTTAACAGCACCATTTAGAAGAAAAAGTTTCAAAATTTTATGCACCAAAGAAAAAAACTATAGAGCATAGTAAATCATTGCTGGAAACTTCATTGGATTATACCAGTCACGATGCAGGGGTTTGAAGCTCTTGTACACGCGCCTATGAATTGTACAACGTTCTTATGTCGGATTTTCCTACAAACAGGAAAAAGAAGGAAAAGAAAGAAAAAAAGGTTGAAATTCAACTGCATGTGAATCCACCTCAAAAATAAGTATCAAAAAGACTCAGCCTCCTAGGAATCAATGCAATGATTAGAACATTAATGCATTCAATAACTAGAGAAGTTCTTAAACTGAACTATAATATGTGAGGACCATGAGATATCTAAATGATACCTGCCACAGTTTTTCTTGTAATACTTGCACCTAATATACACAAACCATGTATATATATGGACACGTGACATCATTTGGTTCTACTAGAGGCTACTAGGAAAATGCTGGAGTTCAAACTTCACTACAACCACAAATCAAACCAAAAATACAGAAATACACAGTGCTTTGAATGAGAATTGAAACGCAATGTGCATGGTAAATAGAAGATATGCAGACTGCAAACTAAATAAATGGCCTATTTCAAAGCTATGTCCCTCTGAAACGTTATAACCCTCCTTTGAGAGCTAACTATCCCATTTTCAAGAATAAGCAGCATCAATAGTTATCTCCTTTAACTTTTTAAGTACCAAACAACCAATATTCCCCAGCATAATATTCATTCACCATAATACGTGGAACTTACAGCAGCTAGTGATTCAGAAATCTAGAGAGAGGTGGAGCAAAACAATTGAACCAAAATTGTGCAGAACAGTCAACCAGTTGCTTAACAAAACCATACAAAGATGGGCACTGGTCTCGAAAATTTTGGAACAGAAATGGGAAAAATGATTGAACAATTGCTGCTCAAAATCTGTGGTGCCAGGCAAGAATCCTACCTATCTGGTAGAAATGGAATCATCTGAGACATCAGAAACAGTCACTTGGTCTAGCGTATCAAAAGATTCTGGAAACCCAAGGAAACAGCTGGTAATCCAAGAATCTAGCTCTGATACACTGATGCACACTAACAAATAGTTCCAGAAAATGGTGAGATGATAGGAAAGGCAGAGAAAAGAAGAGCAGCAATTGTAATAGCTTGGAGAGGGGTGAGAGAATCTGATAATTTTTTAATACGAGTTGGATTTTGGCTTGAATTTGTATTATTATGAACATCCAAATATAGAACACATTGAGGATGCTTATCAGCATAAGCAACTGGTTCAATTCAAAACAATTAGAATATATTGGCGCTCCAACAAACCTCATAATAAAAACTTCCTGAGAAAACTCTCTCAGCAATTCTCCAGTAACCCGCTCAGGCTTGAGGACTTTAATAGCCACTTCTTGACTATAATATGTGCCTCTGTATCTGAAGATGTTAAATGTGACGATGAGTTAGAATTTGTACTCCCCAAGTCAAAAGGAAAAAAAAGAATGCTCGAGGCTGACAAAACTTACAGATCACCATATGACCCAGATGCAATCTTGTTTTCGATTTTGAGCTGCCTGGAATCAATTTCCCATACATCAGTTCCATCAGTCGGGATTTCAAGACAATTGGGTAAGGAAAAGACCCCTTCTTCGACGAGCCCAGTCATAGCAGATTTTGAACTCTTTGTAGGATAAGATGGCACCTGCATCCAAATTGAAACCAATCAAATGGAAGCAGAAAAATACATAGGCTCTAGTAATCCATAATCAACATGATTGCTACTATGGTCTTACAAGTCATCATCAAGTACAGGGAGTTGGGTTGATATACAGAAAAGCAATGAGTATGCATATGTTTGGAGGTCAGACACTTAAAGCTAAAAGTGGAAACCACAATTCACCTTTCACTTTCTGGAAAGTTATTTATTTAACATAAAACCATTTTAATTAAGAAGAAGAATAGATGCCAAAGCTTCAATTTGGATATATACAAAGAAATTCTATTCCAACAAAGAGGAAGACTGCAAGCCATGTTTGGCAATCATCTGCAAAACTAATAGCACTGACAAGGCTTGATTCAACATTAATAGAGGGAGAACACGAGATACCTTTGACTTTAAAATTTCCTTCTCTAGTGCATCTTTGAGCCCCTCGGTTTCCTAAAAGACTAATGAGTTAAAAATTGTTCTTTTCCAGCCTTAGCAACAAGTACTTTATCCAATTATTAGGGTGAACAAATATAAGAGCAAACCTCAAAAGGCCAACCATCAACAAAAACATCCAAAGAGTATCCATCAACAGTGGAAAAAGCATGAGCTTCCTGAATATTCAATCCAATCTCCGCAAGTAAAGAAGTCAACTGTAAAATAATCATTGATATCTATCATTCATTACAAGCAAAAGTTTCAACAGAAACATACCAAATGGGATCTTCCTGCAACAAGAACATGGTAAAATGTATACATAAAATTTCAAATCAATCTGACATCATATCATTCCAGACAAAAGTATCATATAACCAGAGGTGTGAACTTTTATGTTAACTTGACTATCATGTCTCAGCATCAAAGAACTCTTTTTCAACCACAAAGTTGTTACCATTTCCTTTAAATTGATGCAGAGGCAGAAAATCAAGAGATTAGAAACTCTGTTTCTACAAAAGCTAATGCAAACATAAAGAGTGGTATCCATGACATCCCTTTCAAAAAAATCAGTAAATGAAGTGTTAAAATTATCTTTTTCTTTTTATGTGAAAATTGGTGATTACAATATCAATACTGCTGCATAATATAAGCAATGAAATTCCAGCATCTGTCGTGTTAAGCACAAAAAAAGGATGCCAGTATCTATCTGAATTTTATGAGAACACACAGTGGAAGGGATCATCAAGACAGGAGAAGTGGAAGCACCAACTACCTGACTGAGGAGTTTTGGCCGGTCAACTGTTGAAAAGGTGATCTCATGCATAGGCCTACAAGATTCCATATCATAGAATATTATTTATGAAAAATTAAGTTATGCAACTATTAACCAAAAGCAGTGGATTAGTTAAGGGAAAAAAAGCAAGGAAAATAGCTAAGGGCTCAGCTCAAGGGTCCAAGTGTCAATAATAGCCAGAAGAAAAAGGACAAAGCCATTTTGTAGTACGAGACTTAAAAAAACTTCTCGATTCAAATTCTTACCGAAGGCATGGTGATGAATTCACAGCACTGTCTTTATCTTCAGTTGCTTGAAGAGAAAAAGCTTCAAAATGAGGTGATGAA